AGCATTGTTTCCATATCTTTGGGTATCGGGGATAAATTCACTTTCTGCAAATATTGCTTAACTTTTTCTTCTTGAATATTCTCTTGAAAATACAATTTCCCATAGTAATCTTGTATAATTTTTTTCTTCTCATTTCCATAGCAAGCATGTCCTTCTTCATTTATTAGTTGGATAATCCTTCTTGATTCTCTCTCCTTTTTCAGTTTATAGGCTAGCCATCTACCTGGTTTATTTGCATCTTCAAAGTAATTGTGTTTAGCATTTTTAATTTTTTGTGCTAATTCCTCTTTTTCTATTTGTCCCATTTTATGTTTAGTTATGTCCATTTTAATTTTAATCTCTTTTTTGCGGAAACTTCTGTAATTCTTTTTTCCAGTCTCTTATAGTCATCTTCCACTATTTTGAAAGTCTTTTTCTGTCTTATAATTCTTTTCCTTGTATAGTCTATTATCAAGCCTCTTGTGTAGGCCTCCATTGTGTCCCAGAGGTTCTGTAAAGATGTATCCTCTTTTCTATTTTCTTTAAAAAAGAAAGCAAGTTTTTTCTCTATTTTCTGTTTAAAATCTTTTTCCTTTAATATAGTATTATTTAAGGTCCATCTGGATCTCCTCTTATATCCTTTCCAAGTAACTGTCTCTGGATTATGGTCTGCCCAAGTGCTTGTTTCTATTTCAATCTCTCGTAGGTTAGCCAGTTATTCTGCTGATATCCATATCATGTCTATTCTAGACCATGAAGCATGTCTGTTTGAGTAAAAAGTGTATTGCTTACTCTCCACATTTCTCTCTCTCCATGCATCTTTTAAGCTGAATTCTACTGTTATTCGAAAGAAAGATTTTGGTAATATCTTTCTAGCTTTCTTTATTGATTTCTGTGTTTTGTAGTCCAACCGATCATTAACTATTCCATTAAGATCTCCCATCATACAAATATTAGCATAGTCCAGTTCAAGTATTTTCATATGTAATTTCCTGTAAAATTCTTCTTGGTTATCATTCGGAGCATAAATTGCAATTAGAAGTGTTTTAACATTATTGTCCATTATTTCCACCATCAAAATCCTTCCATCGTCATCTGCGTAAATTAATTCCGCCAAAATTGTGTCTTTTATAAAACCACACCTTTTTAAGATTGTGCCAGCGATGCAAATAATTTCCCTATTTTTTTTTTGTTTCAGTATATATTCATGTTGTTTTTTAATATGTACTTCTTGTAAGCAAATTATATCAAATTTTAATTTCTCTAATTTGTGAAATACTTTCCTTCTTTTAGTAGCCAAGTTAAGTCCATTTATGTTAATCGTAATCAATTTTCTTTCATCCATGTTAAGCTTTGTGAGGGGTTTTTATTACTCTAGTAGGTCTTAATTCTCACTGCTCTCTCTTTCTACACCACCTACTGCACCTTCTTTCTCCTTTTCAATTACTGCTATACACTCCTCTTGGAATTCAATTAGTGACTCTTCCTTTCTAGCTTCTTCCTCCTTTCCTCTGAAATATTCCAAGTAGAATAGCTCAGTTTTTTCAACTGTGTCAATTCTGTGTCTTTTTTCCTGCCAGGAGAACAAGAGGCCTTCTGGCATCAGCCATCTGTAATTTACTCCTCTTTTAAGTAACGCTTTGGTCAAAAATAAATATTCTCTTCTCACCTCTCTTACTCTTCTGGGTATCTGTTTCAGCACCACAATTTCTTTATCTTCGTACTTTAAAGTTTTCTCTCTTGCCACCTGCAGTATCTGTGTCTTAATAATCTTTTTAGGGAATCTGATATGAACTTCTCTACGCAGTCTGTTTCTCATTGCGTATCTTGTATAGACATGGAACACTTCATCCATCCCATCCATCATCTTCTCTTTAGTTATCTCTAATGCTTCTGCCAGTATTTCTGTCATTATTTCAGCAAGATTTTCACCTTTCCCTTCTTCTACATTTTGAAATCTTAAGTAGAATTCTGCCACTCCAAAAAAGAAAAAGAAAAAAAAGAAAAATCTTCAGGCACTTATGTACCTTAATCCAATTATTTCTCTTAATAAAAGAGAGAAAAGGAAGAGGATAAAAAAAGAAGTAAAAAATTTATGTTCTAGTTTCTGGAATAGAAGGTTAAAATCCAAATATAAAATCCAATTGGGCGGGGAGTAGAAAAGGAGATGGAAAATAACCTGAAGTTAAGCCAGCCACTGCTACTGAGTATCCAAGGCTCTTTAATAAATCAACTCAATGTTTCTGGTTCCAGTATTTTCAAGGTCACTTCAATCTTCTTTCTTTCAACTTCAGCTCAAAGCTCTAATTATTTAGTTTCACAGATGGGCACCTGTATAAACAATCTGTCATGCTCATCCCACTATCTTTTCCAGTGCAAAGCTCAGAGTCCTTGAGTATAGCACAAGTACATGAACATATTGAGGAAAGAAAGAAACAATATGTCCAAGCCTCGAGATGGCAGTGCTACTTTTCCCCCCCTTCACTTTCACCCCCCCCTCATGTATCCAATAGCAGAAACAAAAAAAGAAAATGGAATCCTTCCTTTTGAAAAAAAAAAATCAAATCCAAAAGAAGAGTCTTAATCAAAACAGACTTTCAAAAAATTGTTTTAAAAAATAAAAATAAAAACAAAGATAGAAAATTTTAAAAAAAACAGTCCAGTTTAAAATTCAGTAACTTTACCAACTTCAAAGTTCCAATAAAAAGGGAAAAGGAAAAAACTTTCACTTTAACTAGCTTAATTTTGCTGCTTGAACACTTTTCTCTTCACTTTTAATTTAACTTTAAACCTTTCAGTGTGTTCTCTTCAAGCAATAATAGGTAAAAGTTCATCTCACCAAGCTGACACACTTTCCTTCAATGTCTTCCATTCCAGAGCTGTCCCAGCTTCAGCAGCTTGAATCGCTGCCTCTCCGCCGCCAGCAAAAGGGCTTTTCCTGGATCACCCAAGGACTTTGCGATGTCCCTGGGATCGACAGGATGTGCCCTCCTTAGTCACCATCCTTACAGGACAGTTTAGGTCCAGTGGACCATCCTGCAATGGAGATATCAGTGGCAATCTTGGAGCTTCAAGATCGCACGCTGTACCACTGAGACGCCAGCTCCGCCCTCCCTAACAACCTCCTGTGGTTGTTAGCATTCTAAGCAGTTCGGAGAACCAGTTAGAAGAAGAAGAAATTACTGGCCTAATCCTGTAAGGAAGGCAGGAAGGAAACATTCTGGTGTTGCTTACAGAAACTGCCTCTCCATTAACCCTTATTACATTCTTGGCAGGACTAGACTTCCTGTCTCTGGAACGTCTCTGGAGTTTTTTTCCCCTCCTTTGCTGGTATTTTGCTTGTGTGGAGTGGCCATTCAAAGTTACAATGGCACTGAAAAAAGTGACTTATGACCATTTTTCACACTTACAACTGCAGCATCCCCACAGTCATGAGAGGCCAGGCGAGGAGATGCATGCCTTGATGTGAGTGATATTGAGTTGATCACACCCAGCCAATAACATGACCACCAAGCTATGTCCACCCAGTCATATGACCACCAAGCCTCACCCACCACCTAAGCCATGCCCACAGAACTGGTTGTTAGAAGATTTGAATCCCATCCCTGATGGAAGTGATTATGAATCTGCTGCCAGATGCTTTGCAAATTGACAAAGTTTTAATAATGGAGGACATTGATCAAATTTACAGGCTAAACTCAAGTTATGCAAGAAGAAAGTATCCAGAGAGATCCATGTTAGATTTGTCAAGAGAACAATATGGGATGAAATATTGAAGAGAGTGAGGGAAGAACCATTACAATATAGACAAAATAAAATTACAATGTTGAAATAGAGCCCCTGGAAGATAAAAGATCTAAGAAGACAACAAAGCTGAATAAAAAAGGAATAAATTTTAGATGGCTGGTTCCGGAGGAGATCCTAATTAACTGGCACTCTAGAAGATATAGACTGGATTCTACCTTTAAGGCAGCGGATTTCTATGACAGACATGTAAGCTAACACAAGGTGCACAAGAAGATAAGGAATCCAAAAGAAACCAGGGAGAAAAAACAGCAGAAGATACAGTGATACAAAATGAAGAAGACAAAGAGAAAAAAAAAACACTGGCCAAGAAGAAGAGGGACTAGTGACAGAACAAAGACAGAAAGATACCAAACCCTAAATATAATAAATATAATAAGTTGGAGAAAAGAAATGGAATCCTTTCAATGAATATAAATGAATTAAAGTCCCCTGCTAAACGAAGAATTTTTTTTACACAATTACAAAAAGTGGACACAGAAATAATTTGTTTGCAAGAAGCATACATAACTGGTATTTAACTGCTAAGGACAGAACCAGGCTCAAAATACCAACATAATGAACAATAATTTGTTCATCAACTGGCAGACTAGGGAAGGTCAAATCAGCTAGAAGAAAATGGAGTATAAAAATAGGAAAACTCCAAAAGATCTTTTTAAACAACCTGATATAAATGCAAAATGCTAATAATTTGCCATTTAATTTAAAAAGATAAATTAGCTGTGATCTTCATCACTATTGCAGCTGCTCAAGAGTACCTGAGCTGAATAGTTATTGCCACCAAGATACCCACACTTTCTAGAATTAAAAGATTTTTGCTGAGGAAGGTTCTTGCTCACTGAGTTATTTATTTGATAAATTTAAAACCAATCAGCTCACTAATTAAAATATTTTTATTGTTTAAAGCAGATTACAAAAATGTTTGGATTTGTTCATTTATTTGTTTGATGCCCATTTTCAAAGGCTGTATTTACATTTACCACAGCTTCCAAAAAAGAAGAAATAACCACTAGAGATTAAATGAATGGAAATCTTAGTATTGGCATAGTAAAAGTATATAAGCATAATATAGCATAACTTTCATTTTCATCATCCCCAACAGTGAACAGGGGGGATGATAAATTCTGTTGGGATGGTTTGGCAACAATATTTGTGCTTATTATTCTAGTTTTCCAATTAAATGACTTAGCTTTTCTGCAGAAATAAAAACAGATTACTAAAATTTAATCAAGGTTTTGCTTTATTTTTTGGAATGTTCCTCTTTAGGTGTTATACTTAATTTTAAGAAAAATGCTGTGTGGAGGAAAGTTTGGATTTTTCACTGCCATCACAAAATAAAATAGTTGTTATAGGTGTGCATTCATTTGCCTGGCTTGGTCAAGCAATTCTAATTTTGCAATTGCTGAGAGATGAACTTCATCAGGCCCATCTGCCACACGCAAAGTCCGAATATAGGCAAACCTGTGAAAATATTAAGATTGTGCCAATTCAACAGTACAGAATAGAATAGCTGCTACTTAATAGCCATTAGATTAAATTCAACTTTATTGTCATTGCCATGGACACAGACAACGAAATGCAGTTAGCATCTAACTAGAAGTGCAAAACAATAGTAAAACATAAATATATGTATGCAAATATGTTTTTTGGGAGAGTTCTAGTGACTTGGGTTGGTAGTAGTATTTTCTACTTACATTTGAGCCAATGGGAAATCTTCTGAGAATCCAGCAGCACCACAAATTTGAATAGTACAATCTATCACCTTAAGGACTGCTCGGGGTGCCACCACTTTGATCATAGCAATCTGTGAAGATGAGTTAGAATTTTTTTAAATTAGTGTAGAAATAAAAAGATGTCATTCATGGCAAGCTGACTTTTGAATCTAAGGAAGTGAAAATCTAGACTTTTATTTTTAATTGTTTCTAAGCCTGGGAGATTCTGAGTGGGACATAACAAATGGGCATGAGGCCTTCTAATATGAGTATCAATCCCACCTTGAGACTTTTGTTAATAAAACTCCCTATATATGTCTCCCTGTGACCCCTATTTAATTGCTTTCTTAAATCAACACAAATAATTGCATTGTAGAGGACAACCAGAAGAAGCACTGTGTGGGATAATCTTATCAAACTTGGTCCGAACAAGAATTTTTTTTTTTGCAATAATTTTTTTATTACAACAAACATATCATTGTGTGAACAGTGTGTTCCAGAATGTCTTACATTTTAGTACAAATATGAAAATATTCTCCATATTTAATGTCAGCTAGGTTGGTTAGGAACTTATTTGATTTCTCACTTGGTGCAGAATTAGTTCTGATATCAGGATTGATGTCAGGATAATTGAAGTCCCCCATTACTATTGTTGTGTGTTTCCTGCATATGTTTGTTACTTGGTTGGCAAAAAGGACATCTATTTTTTTCTGCTTGATTGGGTGGCCATATATACCTATGGCCATGTCATTCTTTTTTTCTTTTATATTGACCCATATTCATTCTAGGAGGTTTTCATCTTTGGTTTCATGCATTTCTGTAGCAATATAATGGTCCTTTATATACAGTGCAAGTCCACCTCCTCTTTTATGGAGTCTGGTTTTTTTTTTGAACAGTTTATATTCTTCTACCAGTATGTTCCAATCATGGGTTTCATCCCACCAAGTTTCTGTTATTCCAACTGTATCATATCTATCTTCATGTATTGGTAGTTCAACTTCACCCTGTTTGTTCCCCAGACTTTGTGCATTTGTATATAGGCACTTGAGATCTTTATGTCTGACGCTGTGTTTACTGTCTACATCACCTGTGTTTTGCCTGCCTGCCCCTACTTTCTTGCCACCAGTTTGATTAATGCACATGGTGTGGCACTCACTATTAAATGCTTGGTTTTGGTTGACAGCAAGGTTGATAATCTTACCTGCACAAACATCTATTTTACATGCACTGGTATCCTTATTAATTTTAGGTTGCTAGGGACAGAAATATTCTGTAATTAATTCTCTTTTCCTGCTGTTCGGTTTAAATGTTTATCCAGCAAATCTGTGAATTTAATGCCAAGTAACTCAGTCCCTTTCTTTGATGGATGCAGATCATCTCTTTTGTACAGTTTTTCATTGGACCATCTGCAGACATCATGACTAATAAAACCAAAGCCTTCCCTTTTACACCACTCCTTCAGCCACACATTAAACTCCACTACATGCTGGCCCTTCCCTTTTTGTTCCTTGCATACTGGTAGAACCTCTGAAAAGATAAGCCTACAGCCCATACTACTAAGTTCATACCCCAAGCTCTGGAAGTCTTTCTGAACAGAAAGTACATCCTTCTGGGACAGATCATTTGTACCAAGATGGAAGAAAAATAGCATCAACATCACAGTCCTTACTGGCATTCTTGACTATCTTAAGAATACGCCTCTTGTCTCTGCTGGCAGTAGCACCTGGCAGACACCTGACCTCTTTCAAAACCTCCGTGTCCTTTCCTAAATCTTCCTTTACTTCTTAGAATTTTAACATTTCATTCCAATAATCAGATCACTGCCACTTTAAATATAATTATGAGTCCTGTTTTCTGAATATTCTTTTCAGGATTGCATTTAAAGTAAAATGGATTGTTCTCACCCATTTCCAGTCACTGTCACTAATTCTGCTTCTGCAATCTTCTTAGTTATAAAGCTGTCTTTGGCTATGTGGCAGCCATCTTGGCTGCCTCTTCTGTACAATGTGACATAGAAAGCAATAGCCTTGGGGCTTTACAGGGGAATTTCATTCTCCCCTGGAACCTCACAAGGCACCTCTCTTTTGCTTCACCACTCCCCCAGAATGGCTTTGGCTTCTACAAACATGAAGAAGCCAGCACAGAGACAGAGAGCTCCATTCCCTTGCTACTGGTGTCATTGTGATGTCACTTCCTGTTTCCCAAACAAGAAAGATTCATAGTCATGAAGTAAGTTTTGTGCATTATTTATATCTCAGCTTAATGTTCCCTTCATTTTTTTGTAGAGAGATGATAAGGATTCCATAATAAAATTCATCACTATACACAATAAAATTTAACTAAGTTTATCAATAAAAGATACCGTGTTTCTCCAACAATACATCCTCCACCAATAGGAAGCCCCACCATGTTTTATTGGCATAAAATCAAATTAAGCCCCTCCCCCCCAAATTAAGGCCCATATTGAACATGCGAAATGGGGGGGAATGGCAGGGGGGCTTGCTGTTAGGAAGTACTTTTGTTGCATGCCTGGATATGGTGCTGCCTGCATTGGTGGGGCACTTCATATCGGGAGACCTTCCACCACCATTGCTTTCCCTTCTCCCTTGCTGCCGCGGCGTTAGAGCAACGCCACAGTGTTTGGCGCAGCCACGTGCGGCCAGCCAGGGCTCCTCCCTGCAACCGGAGCCCTGCGGAGACACTTGGCTTCGGGTGCTCCTGTCGCCGCCTTCCCTTTGCCTTTGAAGTTAAAGTGAATTATTTTAAAAACGACACCCTACTACAACAAAGCCTCCCCTGCCCGAGAGGGCAGCCCGACCCCACGTGGGGAGGCGAATCTCCCGGGCCGCAGCATAGAATCGGCCCACCTCGGGAGAAACAACCAGCCATCCCTGCCTGGCGCTGGGCAGAGCGCGAAGAGCTTCGCCTGGGGCGCCCAGCGCAGCTGACAGGCGGGCCCTCCTGCCCAATGGCAGAACTCTCACCAAGGCAGCGAGCGCCTCCCCGCCAGGCCCTCCGCTCATCCCGCCAGCACGGCCCTCGCTGCCTTGGTGAGAGTTCTGCCATTGGGCAGGTGGGCCCGCCTGTCAGCTGCGCTGGGCACCCCAGGCGAAGCTCTTCGCGCTCTGCCCAGCGCCAGGCAGGGATGGTGGCTGGGCACTTCTCCCAAGGTGGGCCGATCCTGTGCTGTGGCCCCGGGAGATTCGCCTCCCTACGTGGGGTCGGGCTGCCCTCTTGGGCAGGGGAGGCTTTGTTGTAGTAGGGTGTCATTTTTAAAATAATTCGCTTTACCTTCAAAGGCAAAGGGAAGGCGGCGACAGGAGCGCCTGAAGCCAAGTGTCTCCGCAGGGCTCCGGTTGCAGGGAGGAGCCCTGGCTGGTCGCACGTGGCTGCGCCAAACACTGTGGCGTTGCTCTAACGCTGCGGCAGCAAGGGAGAAGGGAAAGCAACGGTGGCGGAAGGTCTCCCGAACATCCAAGCTGTCGCCGCCCGCCCACCCAAGGATGCAATGGGGGGTGGATTAAGTCACCCCGAAAAGATGGCCTAGCCGTTTTTTCGGGGGTCAAAAAAAAATAAGGCCCAGCCTTATTTTGTGAGAAACACGGTATAATTCTTCAAAATTGAAAAATTACTTTGAGAGCTACATAATGATCTACTATGTATTCAATTATCAATTGAATTATTCAATTATAACTGGTTAATTGACTGTTGACATCAGTTCTCATCATTGACAAATTTAAACCCATTGATTTAAATTAACGAACCACATACAAACCAAATTAAGAATGAGGTGTATTAAGTTTCTCAAGTATATGCAAATGTTTATGAAAGCCACCATTTTCTTTTTTTCTCAGCAAAAACAGTTTCATTAATATAATTAAATTCCTGACAGTTTGTCCCTTCTGTCTTCCTCATACAAAATTTCAGTCCTGTTACCTCTTTCCTGGCTGCTTTATTGCCCATGGCATCTATTTTATTAGCCGCTTTCAGTGTAAGTAGCCTTGCCTGTTCAATAGCAATGCGGCACTCAGCAATCCAGTGAGCAACAACTTCCTAAAGGAAAATAAGGCAAAAGCAAATTAGAAAACGTAGTTTAAAAACAAAACAAAACTACACACAGTGCTCAGGTTTAAAAAATGATCTTACTTTGCTACCCTGTATCTCTTGTTATTAGCTTCATGTCCATCTTCAAATTGCAAAAAGAGTTTTTATATACAACACTATATAATTAGGTTGTGAACTCACATGATGATAGAGTTTCTTCCCAAATGTGACCCTTTGGGCTGATCGCTCACACAGGATCCGCAGAGCAGTTTCACCTGCTCCAATTGATCTCATACAGTGATGAATACGGCCCGGTCCAAGTCGTCCTTGAGCTATTTCAAATCCTCTTCCCTCTCCTTTGTTACAAAAATAAAAAGGCAGTTCTTTTCTCTTTGGGGGAAATATATAATTATTTGCTACATTGGAATGCAAAAGTTCTGACTTATAATAACTTTCTACGGTCTTAGACAGAACATCTGGATAGTCTAAAACACTTTTCTTGATAAGACTTTTCAGACGTGATTGCCATTGTTTCCTTTCTAGGTAACAGAGAATGACTGGCACAAGATCAATGAACTGGCATTGCGCTTAAGGTGCATTAGAATTCCTGGTCTCTCAGTTTCTAGCCTTTCTTAACACTATACCAAATTGGCTCTCACATGTATCATACAATTGTGTAAAGGTCAAAAAGCCATGGCAAAGCTGGTTCCTCCCAGTTCAGGTAATTCAACAACAAAGGTTTGTTGACAATCCAGTAACTATCAGAAGAAGAAATTCAATACTCACCCAGTATCAGATGAGTGGCAGGGACTCGAACATCATTAAAATGTATTTCAAAATGTCCACCATGAAAATAATCTATAAAATTATGAACACAATCAAGTATCATTTGAGGAAAACTGCCAGCAGTGTTATTAAAAAAAAATCTAATACAGTTAACAGTAAGTCATTCTCTCTTTGGAGAACTAAAACAAAAATAATATAGCAAATATTAAATGAATAATATCAAATGAATGCAGGAATATAATATAATATTTCTGCACAGTTTAAAGTATCTGTCAAGTCAACCAACCAACCAACCTATCTGGCAACAGAATATGTAATGCATATAAAAAAGCAAATTTGTTTACACCACCATGGTTGCTGTCTTTCCTTTTTTTTTAACCATCTCTTGCAAATACCCATGTTCTCCCTCTCACTTCAAACTGAGCAAAAAATACCCCACTGCATTGACTTTACAACAGACTTCCCATCAGAACTTCAGGAAACCCACTGCATCCCACATATTTTTCTCACTGCAGCTCAGATTGATTTTTCTGATATAGATGGTACAAATACAGTTCCATGCATATACCCAGCCTATATAGAAGTCTTTATATCCCCCCTCCAATCTCCTATTTCCTCCTACAGCTCAGAAATCAGACAAATATTCAGACGCAACTTTAAGCATTCAAAGTACAAGCAACTGACAATTCCACTTACCAAAATACCCAAAGACTGAAAGAGGCCTTATAAGTTTCACTCCAGGTGTATCCATTGGCACAATAATCATACTATGCTGTTTATATCTAATTGAAACAAAAGTTATAATACTGAATATAACAGTAACATAATACGCTTTGGATTAACAATGATTTCTAAATATTTATCAGTTTTATCAGTTTTCCTACTTGCACAACACTTCTTACTAGCACTGATATGCTACCTAGTTTGGGTAATGAAATGTCTGCAAGAAAACAAGCAGGCTCAGAGAGCACCAAGGATCCCTCATGTCAACCTTAAGCTACGAATATTTTCCTTTAATAATTATGATTATTAGAGCAGCAACCTAGAAGTTATTGACAGTATCTTAGCAGCTGGGTAGAAGTGTGATAAAAAAATTACTCCACAGTATAATATACCAAAAATAAACGTTGATTCTTGTTCCGTACATATTTCAAACACAAACTGAACATTTCTTCTTACCTGGATGCCGAAGTAGTTTTATCTCTGCCCATTACAATAGCAAACTTGCAGCTGGGATTTCCAGCTCCTAAAAAATGAACACTAAATGAATTTCTTGGTTGAAACCTTTATCATTGGGTTAAGAATCTACAATATTTTTAACTTTTCAGAGAAGAAAATACAGTTGCAATGATCAATAGATCTTGCTTTCTAATAAATTTAAAAGCAACAGTTAAAGAGAACATTGGAACATTGTGTGAAAACCTGGAAAACTACTTCCAAATGGGACAAATAATACTAGCTATATGTAAAAAAAGCTTTATGCTGGTATAAGATCATGTTTTACACTAAGGCAGAAATTCAAAGATTTAGCTGATCATCCCTGATTCACAAACAGACCAATGTTACTAGCTTTTCTAATGGTTTTGCACTGTGCCACTAATATAGATGAAGAAAAACATACCCTAAAAAGACAAATTTGAATAATAATTTATTGTGTACAATAAATGAGCTAGTGTCAGATCCTTGTATCTGACATTCTTCATGGAAGAAGAAATGGGGAGGAAAGTTGGTATATGAAATCCTTTGGATGTAACCTGAATAAATTAAATCTTATATTAAATTTGTATAACCTACATATGGGGAAAACGGAGGGACGGAAACCAGATGTCCCGGAAGCCTGTCACCTCTGGAAGAGACAGCCAGGGGCTGAAGACATCATAAAAATTCCAGCAGGGAGATGTGTCCTGGGAAACTCTAAAAAAGATTGTTCTCAAAAGAGGGGAGGGGGAATTAACATGTTGGCTCTTTGTATTACAAAATACACATCAAGATACGGGGAGGGGTTTTAATCTATCACTGCATGCCTGAGGGATGTTAGACGCTGGTTTTAATCCCTACGTGAATTGTCTCATCTCAATAAAGGATTCCTTTTGATATGTCTAGTTTCAGAAGTTCATTCTTGTTGATTGAATGGGAAAAGTTCTGCAGCCTGACATAAAACAGCGTTTGCAAGAGAGGTCAGCATGGAGAGGAATTTTTTTTAAAAAACCTTCACTCTACCAAGGGGACCCTGCAAAAGAGGAAAATGAATAGAGCAAGGAGCAAGAGGAAGCCGAATGCTGGGGAGAAACGTCGACAGTTACCCAGTCAGATACTGACTCGGTGTATCCCATCGAAGATAGCAAAGCTGATTCCGAAACCTCCACAAAGCCCCAGTGGTCTATAGGCATAGGAAAGAGAGACAGCTGAGATGGAAGAACCAGGGGATTATCCCTTACCTGGGATAATCGTAAACGCGGGTGGAAATTGGAGCTGGAGGCCCTATCAGATCAGGAAGAGCATTTATCGACAAAAATCTAAAAAGGGGTTTCACTGAACCCACCCGACCAAAAATAGCTGCCCCAGTATTATTCCACGAAAAGAAAGTCATCTCCTTACGTCTGTGTGTGAATTACCAAAAATTAAATGCAATTTGCATGGAGAATATGTATCCATTTCCTCTCATGAAAGACATGTTAGCTCACCTCTCAAAAGGGAAAAAATTTTCTATGTTAGACCTATGAGAGGCATATTACCGCATCAGAATAAGGGAAGGGGATGAGTGGAAGACGCCTTTTAACAACCCACTAGGATGCTACCAATTTAAAGTGCTCCTCTTTGGACTGCAAGGAGCGCCTGCCATGCTTATGCAATTGATTAATGAAACCCTTCATGAATTTCTATATAAAGGGGTTCTAGTTTATCTTGATGATATTTTAATCTACGTGGAAATGGAAGAGGAACACATTAAGTTACTCCGAGCAGTCCTCACAAAACTCTTAAATGCCAAACTATATGCAAAACTCTCCAAATGCAAATTCCACCAAGAAAAAATTGACTACTTGGGATATAGAATATCCAGTGGGGGTATAGAGATGGACCCACAAAAAGTAAACACTATTATCTAGTGGGAACCACCTTGTACCTGCAAGCAACTGCAAAGCTTCTTGGGGTTTGCAAACTTTTAATGCCAGTTCATTCCAGCTTTTGCAAAAATTGCCCTCCCTATCACAAACTCATTAAAAATGAGGGGGGGGGGGAGAAACCCAAACCAAGGCAACCCCTTATCTGGACAATAGAATGCCAAGCGGCATTCAAAAAACTCAAACGTCTAATCTCAGCAGAACCGGTTCTTAAGCATCCAGACCCTGAACAACCTTTTGTCATCCAAGCAGATGCTAGTGATGTTACAGTTGGAGCAGTCCTCCAAAAGAATGGACATTGACAATTACAACCATGCGCTTATACATCCAAGAAATGGATGGAAACAGAGCAAAGATGGGCCATATGGGAGAAAGAGGCATATGCTGTGCGATGGGCACTTCTCACATGGAGACAATTCCTAGAAGAAACCAAATCCCCTTTTAAGTATGGACTGATCACAAAAATCTGGAAGCCCTGAGAAATCCATGGAAACTCTCCGAAAAACAAGCAAGGTGGGCTCAATATTTTAAACGGTTTAATTTCACTCTCAAATATTTCCTGGGAGGAAGAATTTCTTAGCAGATGCACTGTCCAGAAACCCCAATACAACAGCAAAAAGATTGAGGTTATAAAACCAATGATCCAACCGACCCAACTTGCAGCCAAAGTAATCACTTAGGCACAAGAGGAAAAAAAACTACTGACTGACAGTGAAACAACTTCAGTATTTAAGGAGGCAGTACTTAAGAACGACTGGCTCCAGGCTAACAAAAACACTTGCATAATCGAAGATGGACTAGCCTGGGTGGAGAACAAACTTTATGTCCCTGCTAGCCAGAGGATGGACTTCATGAAAACACTGCCACAACTCAAAAACAGCGGGACACTTTGGGTTCGTAAAAATCCTGCACCTCATCAAAAGACAATTTTGGTGACCATCTCTCAAAAACAACATGGAAAACTATGTGACGAGCTGCCCCACCTGTGCTGCTGCAACGAGAAGACAAGGAAAATCTCCTGGACTTTTACAGACAGTAGCAGACCCTTCTGCACCCTGGAAAGAGATCTCTATTGACTTTATAGTGGAGCTTCCCGAAAGTGCTGGAAATACTGTCATTTTGGTTGTAACTGATCTTTTTTCAACATAGGTTCATTTTGTACCATGCCAAAAGATCCCAACAGCCAAGGCCTTGGCAAAGATGTTTCTAATACACATTTATCGTCTTCATGGAGCTCCCCAACGCATTATCTCAGATGGGGTGTACAATTCACATCCACATTTTGGCGGGCGTTTTTAAACCTATTAGGCTCCATCCTGGGATTGTTGTTATCAAATCAACCCAGACTAACGGTGGATCTGAACGATCGAACAGCTTATTAGAACAATATTTAAGATGCTTTATTAATTACCAACAGGACAATTGGACTGACCTCCTTCCTTTTGCAGAGGTAGCATACAACATCCGTCCACAGCAGCACGGGTTTCACCCCATTCCAGATAGCTACAGGCCAAGAATTCAACCCCATGCCGGAACTACCCACCAAGGAACCTGAAATCCCCTCCCTTAAGGAATGGATTAATAATTAGCAAGCCACATGGCCAGTGGTAAGGCTAACTTTACAGGAAGCTAGAGCCGCTTTTAAAGTTCAAGCGGGCAAAAAACACTGCAATCCAAAACCTTTCAAAGTTGGGGACTGTGTATATTTGTCTACAAAATTCTTGAAATCATTACAACCCTCTAAGAAACTGGGACCAAAATTCATTGGGCCACTCCCCATCTCCAGAATCATTAACCCGGTTACGGTAGAGCTTCGACTTCCCAAAACACTTAGGTAGATTCATCCAGTATTTCACTGTAGCCTGCTCAAACCAGAGATCACTTCAAACCTCAGACCGCCCCCCTTCCCACACTTCCATCTCCCATCATGGTATATGGGGAACAACATTTTGAAATTAAAGATATCCTTGATTCATGCACTCACTGTGGATCCACACAATATTTAGTCACTTGGAAACATCTTCCTTCTTCAGAAAATGAGTGGGTAGCCAAACAACATGTAAAAGCACCCACATTACTATGAAATTTCCACCTGAAATACCTTCATGAATCATCCTAAATTGTAAATGTAACGCATGTTTTTGTTTTCCAGGTAGATCTATCTGCTTTTTAAGGAGGGCAGGATGTCAGATCCGTGTATTTGCTATTTTTCATGGAAGAAGGGGAGAGGGTAGTTGGTACATGAAATCCTTTTGATGTAATCTGATTTATATATTTATTTAGTCATATAAATTTCTTAATTTCTTAATTTAAAAATATTAATAAGGGGGAAAACTATTGATGAACTGGGGATAACTAATGATTATTTGAATAAATGTCTTTTTTTGTAAAAGTTTTATTTCAATTTTCTACATTTTTAAAGAAACATCTCTTTTTAGTGAATAGCATGACTCCAGGTTTTCACATCTCCATACAAACATAATTTGGTTTACATGTTCATCTTTCACATTTAGTTCATATCAACCTCTACTTTACATATTTTCTATTATTTTTCACAGATATTTTCCTCAGGCTTATTTATAAATTTTCCATTCATTTCTTAACCTATTCCTTCTAGCTTTAACTAATTCTCATATCATCATATTCATTATTCTTATACTTTTATCTGTCATAATTACAATTTCATGAACTGGGGATAACTGTGATTATTTGAATAAGTGTCTTACAGTATATATCTTATATGAATTTATATTCTCTCTAAGATTTATTATATTTTATAGTATTTGACATTAAGACTTTATCAATTTAAAACTATGTAGAGTTATTAAGGGTTTTATATAGAAGAGTGAGATTCCTAAAAGTTCTAATAATTAGAGATATAATACTTGTAATTTCTGTTGCTAATAATTTATATTAATTGACATTAAAATAAGAAAGAGAAATTCTGTGATGACCCAGGGCGTGGCACAAAAGCAACAAAGTCATAAAAGTAGGTAAAGTCCCTTTAATACCTCCAACTTGGCCCCCAATGTCCAGTTATCATCGGCTGGAGAAAAAATTCTCCCAAGAACAGTCTTTAAAGGGAAGAAATTCAGTCCGAACCCAATATAAATATAGATTATAATAAAAACCAACACAAACCACACTGCAGCAATTACGAGACAGGGCAGGATAAGGAATTGCAGATTTCCAAAAGATAACGAAACACACAGTTAGGAGGATGCCAGAGCCCAGATAAGCCTTGACAGACAGAGATAATGTACGCTTTGCTTCCAGCAACTTTGCTGTGCATAGTTTGCCTTTTTAAACAGTTTTCCCAGCTGCAGCTAATGAAGGGGATCGGGGTCCTTTCCTCTCCCATAAACCACATAACTCACATTGCTCCCTTCTTCATTCCTCCCTGCGTGCCCTAGGATGAAGAGCGGGTGGCTCTGGGTCTTCCTCTGAATGCCCAGCCGAACTGTGCCCTTCCCCAGTTTCTTCCACAGCCACCGGAGCCACACTTCCATTCCCTGTCAGCTGCTCAACCTCCCCCTCAGACTCAGATTCCAACAGGGGCATGACAAATTCCAAAACAAGGAATAAATCTATAGGAACCTAGGAAGGGACAAATCCAGAGTATTGGACCAAAGATCTAGTGAATGCTGATTTGGGATAATATGTATATTGTAGTATTTGGAGAAACAGAGCAAAATATTAAAGGAAATGACAAGCATCACTACCATGATGGTGAAAACTGGGACAAAGACAACACCTGTGTCAATACTTTCAACAGTATATTTATTTATATTCTTATATATTTGTATTTTTATGTTCTTACAATATATTTAATGTTCAATCAAAAATCTAGAATAAATTTTTAATAAATCATTACTATTACTACAAAAATTATAATTATTTAATATGTAATGTTATATTTATATGTATAATAGATCTACCTTAGTTTCTAAATCTAACTCCACAACTCCTTAAATTAAATCCAATATCCTGTATTAATTAACCAATATTTATATATTTTTACAAATACCTTATTTACCTTTTAAACAAGAATATAAAATCTTAAGACTATTACAATTAAATTATTTACCAATCAACTAATTAGCTCATTAATAAGTTCAACTATTAATTAATTCAAATATTTTCTATTAACATCAGTAATCAAACAATTTATCAAAATCATATTCTTATTCAGATTTATACTGGTCTTAGATCATACACTCTGTTTATTCACATTCTTTTACGTCAGTTTCTTTTTTCCTTTCAGTCTCTAATGTCAGCTGCAATAAAAGCAATTGTCTCAGTCTTGTCATTTCTTGCTCTACAACCCTCTGCAGTTAATTTCCTTCTCATTCCAGATTTCACTTGTCACAACTCTAATTTTCTTAATATATTCTGCTCTCCAATCCAACCACTTTGTTCAATCAAACTAGTTATATCCTCCTCCTTCCAGATTCCTCTTCTCTCACCATTAGATAGCTATTTTTCTCCTCAAACAACTGCCCTTTATCTCCGAGATTCACTATTCTAGAGTCCAAAATCTTCCTCTCTTCCAAAATCACTTCCTCCTCTAAAATCATCTCCTCTTCCTCTTCTAAAATCACACTCCACCTTCACAATGCCAAATTATCAATAATCCGTTTGATGCCGCCACCATTGTTCTTCCGATCTTTCCTTCCGATCTTCCTCATCTATTGAGATCGCTGCGACCTCAGATCTGCCATTATAAAGTGACAGGACATTCACACGTCGGAGCAAAGAGGTTTCCTTACAGTGAAGCAGATATTCACCTTCCGGCTTGTTACTGCTCAGGCTTCCCCTTTATTTCACAAATCCCTCCAGGATTTGTGTTCTCCTCAAGGCGGCTTCCAGATGTGCTAATTAGGATTCAGAGAATGGAGCTCATTCTCCTATCTCCACATCACCATGGCGCCCCAACTGGAAGTTCTATGCTACTTTTTTTTAATAGGAGACTCTTTCATTACATCAACCTAGCAAAACATTGTAGGTGCCAGAAAAGACAAGACATCATGGTAAAATTGAAGAGATCCTTATGGACCATGAAGATTCTGCAGAACAAACAGATTTACAGTTTAGAAAATGGATAGGAGAATATATAACATTTCTCATGTTAGATACTCAGTGACTATTTGCTCTGAATGAATGAGATTACAGAAAGATAATCTTAATTACACGTACTAAAATTACTAGGTTTAAACAAAATAATTGCTATTTGATCATACGTATTTTATAGACATACATATCCATTAACTTTTTCCTTTCAGGGAAATTTATGTTACATGAAAAAGTAAGAAATAGAAAGAAAAATTACAGAAATTAAATTAGAAAAGGGAATGGTTAAATTTAGTTTACACTAAGCCCATTCACTATATCTTTCCAGAATTTTCTGTCCTTGCAATTATGTTATTTTCTTCAGTTTTTCTCTTTTAGAACTTATTTGATCTAGTCTTGATCATTAATATTTTTGGCATTTCACTAGTAACAGCTTGTTGATAGTTGCCTTTGCTATGTTTGGAAAGCATTGCCCTTTAAAGAAATGAAATACATAAAAATTCACCATTTTTCTATAGACAAAAAATCCTCCCAAATCAAGTAATTTTAAAAAATATGTTACAGAAATATGAAATTGAAGTTGATATTTAAAAAAAATAACAGTTCTACGTTAAAAAAAATTGAGAATATGTTACAATTGTACTCCTAATGAACAAATAAGTGTTAATGAAGAACAAGTATATCATTATGTGGATCTTTAATTTAATCAAGGTTCTTCCTACATAAAGATACCTGAAGTCATAGTATAACACTATGTATTCAGGAGTTTCAATCAAGTTAATGTGGATTGTTCTCATAGATCTACAACACTATTGACTTGTTAACATCACAGAATGGGGCAGGTATATTTTGATTATGTTCTTAGAGGTAGCAGAGTTCTTTTCTAAACACCACCACGTGCTCATCCTATATCTTGGGACCAGCAGCAAGTTAGTCAATTAATGGGAATGTAGTGGCGCAGCATGAATGATGCTGGAACTGCAGGTCATAAATAGCCTGCATTCCAGCAGTTCAAGCCAGGATCCACAAGATAGGGTGAACTCCTGCCTCTCATTCCCAATCTTCTGTCCATTCAGCAATTTGAAAGAATGCCATACTGCAAGCAAATAAATGGGTACCACTTTGGTGGAAAAACCTAGCTGCATTTGTATGTGAAGCTAGTGCTGGACCTGGCTGGATGTAAGGCCACACCATACAAGGCAAAGCAAGACAAGACAGCAGAGAAGTGTGGAAGAACCAGCAACCCGAGTGCACTAAACAGCTGTTTAAGCAAGTTCACTCCTGCGGTGCATTAAGAATGCCAAACAGAATGAACTAGCAATTTAGGTGTCAGGACTGCATTGTGTTTAGCATAGATTTCCCTGACATTGAATACCATACGCTAAATAAATAAATAGTTAATTAATGAATTAGTATGTAAGTATTCATTCAAAAACATATATAATAAAACAAGAAAAAACAGTCCATTTAATGAGACAGATGTGTTAATACAAAAACTCACAACTATAATTTTATGCTAGAGGAAACATTTTTACTTACCACTGCTCCACCACTTTTTGCCATTGATTATGTAGCTGTCTCCATCTCTCTGAATGTTACACTTCATATTGGTGGCATCACTTGATGCAACATCAGGTTCTAAACCAAACATCAGAATTTAGCAACAACAAACAGAAAAGATCTTACAGATTTTTCTAAACATCAAGAAGGATTGCTAAGCATGATATCAGAGATGAACTTCCAAAGAAGGGATAGGGTTTTTCCCCTTTTTTGTCTCATTATTCTCTCTAAACAAGTGAGAGAATGTGTGAGTGATGAGGTTTGTATTATATCTGCCATTTATTGGATTTCAGATAATTACAGCGCCTATATATAAATTGCAATACAAATTCAACATTATTATTTAATATAACAATTCCAATTCAACCGGCAATTAAATTAACCATAAAGAGTAATAAACTATAATTCATTAGCTGAAATAGTACCTGTAGTGGTACTTTAGGTGGTTCTTGACTTATGACAATAATTGGCCCCAAATCTCAGTAACTGAGCAAAGCAATCCCATGACATTAACAAATGCTAACATTTCCCCCTCTACTCTGGAGCCCTTACAAGCTTCCAGAAGGGAGGAGAAAATGCTGGGGAGGACTAGCATTCTGTAAAGCTCAGAATATCCTTTAACCAACATTTTTGCCAAGATTTGAGGTGTATTCTTCCAACAAGAGGATTGCCACTGGGGGAGCAGACCTCAAATCCAACATCCCATCCACTCACAATCTTTCTTGTCAGTTTCCCTATTGACCTATGGAAGCTAGCTGAGAAGATAGCTTTTGCATGGTTTAAAATTTTTAATGTTTTAAATTTTAATTGCTTTTCTATTTATCCTTTTATGTTATGTAAGTTGCCCAGCATTGTCCTATCAGGAAAATGAAAAAAATAAATTAAAAAATTAAATTAAATTGCAAATGACAATCACATGATCACAGCACACTTGGCAACTAGTTGTAAAGTGTAAACTAGCTGCCAAGAGTCAGAAATCTGATCATGGGACCAGGAGGGCAACAGTAATGTTTTAATGAAAGCTGAAGGCTTTGTAAGTCATAAGGAATCTATTCCAAGGCCATCATTTATTATGGTGGTGTAATCCTTTCCTTCAAGGGAAAGCTACTATCAGATCCATGTATCTGTCACCAGGACACCAACACAGGAGAGCGAGGGAACCAGAAAATGCGAGAACCCGAGCCACCACCCCGGATTCAGCTGACAATGATTGGGCAGTGGGACAAGCTGAAGAACCAGCAGCCATACCAGGTACACGACCCCTAACCGCCCCAGAACAGGGGATTAACCCTGGCCAATCCAGAGACATACAACTGCAGAGGAAGGTTCCCACCCCTGGGAGTAAAATTCGATGGAGACCCCCAGAAACTGGGATTTTTCCTGGCGCAAGTCCTCACCTACATGCAATAATACGGGCAGAATTTCCCAACACGGGGATCCTGACTATGAGTCGTCACCCTGGCCCTTGAAGGGGCAGCAGCCAGATGAATGGTGATGCTCCACAACGTCAATGTCCCAGAATTAAGGAACCTCAACCACTTCATGACGGCCCTACACAACCGCTTCGAAGACCCTCTTGCCAATAGAAAAGCCCAAAACCTCATCAGAGTTATAAAGCAAGGCTGTCGCCCGGTAGCCGAATACACTGAGGAATTAAGTGACCTGGCCGGCTGAGTCAACTGGCCAGAGGATATCCTAGTCTGTTGGTTCAAAGATGGGCTAAACCAGTGGTTCCCAAACTTTTTGGGTCCACTGCCCCCTTGGTGCTACAAACTCATCCTTGGTGCCTCCCACCCAGGGTGGGATTCAAATTTCTGTGGGTGTGGCCTAATTTGAGGGTGTGGTTTGCTTGTCACATGACTGGGTGGGCATGGCTTCCTGGTCATGTGACTGGGTGGGCGTGGCCAGGTGACTGGTAAACCAAATACAAGTGGTCCTCACTTAATGACCGGTTGTTTAGCAAGTGTTCTAATTTATGACTGGCCTCCCCAGAGCTACTTGACCAGTTTTTGGAGTTTTGACAGCTTTAGATCAGGGGTCTAAATCCCACCCCTGCCTGTGTGTGAGAGAGAGAGGGAGAGAGAGAGGTTGGATCAGATGTCTCTCTTTCTCCCTCCCACCAACACCAAAAAGCCACCATCAGTCAAAATTCATATTAGTGGTCTCCAGGCTTTAAAATTATGAGTTTGGTGGCCCCTGAGGTCCAAAAGTTTGGTGACCCATGATCCAAACAGATGAGGCTGAGAGAGGGAAAGAGAGAGAGAAAAGCAAGAGAGAAAGAGTTAGAGAAAACAAAGAGAAAGGGGAAAGAAAGAAAAAGGGACAAAGAAAGAGGGGGGGATGGAAGGAAGAGACAGAAAGAAAAAGAAATAAAGAAGGAGGGAAGGAGGGAGGAGAAAGATAATGAGATATCTATTCTAGTTCAATCACCTGCTCCAGCAGGGTTAGAAGGGAATGTGTGTGTGTGTGTGTTCTCTTTATAATTTACCAGTACATTTTGGTTTTGCCTTCTTCAGAATTGGCACTGTAATACATTGGGGAATAGTAATTTTTATGGTGGAGATCTGGTCCAATGGATCCTGTTTAAAGCCTCAACAAAATGTGAGATCTTCCTGATAGTCTTGACCATGTTTTGTCCACAAAACCTTTAATAGAAGCCAAAGAGGTTTCAATGTGCTGGCAAAGATGTTTCAATGTGGAAAAGGGCCTCAGTCTAAACTAGGCCTCATTCAATCTGATACATCAGGTCTCTCTCTTTCTCTCTCTCTCTCCCTCCCTCCTTCTCAGACTGGTTTTGCTCTACTTTCCTGATGTGCCTGCAGGGCCGGCGTTTCGAACATGGATGGATGGATAGAGACAGGCAGGCAGGCAGGCAGGCAGGCAGGCAGGCAAACAGATCTTTTGGATGGATGGATGGATGGATGGACAGACGGACAAACAGACAGAATGAGACAGCGGCGGCACTTTGGGAAAGCGGTGGCAGCGGCTTTTCCCAACATGCTGCTACATTCGAGGCACCGGCTCTGGAGCATTACTAGAGTCAATGGGAGAATCTTAAGGGCCAATGCCTCGAATGCCCCCCTGCCGCCTCTTAGCAGCAGAGGGGGCTAAGAGGCAGCAGGGGGGCATTCGAGGCACCAGCTGGCCCTGCAGTTTCATCCATTGACTAGCACTGCTCCAGAGCCATCGCCTCCAATGCGGAAGCAGTGGCATGTTACATGCTGCCACAGCCGTGTTCGACGTGCTGCCCCCCTGCCGCCTCTTAGCGCCCTTCTGATGGCCCCCTTGGGGATGCTAAGAGGTGGCAGGGGGCATTCAAGGCACCAGCCCTGCATGTTCACCCATTGACTAGCAGCGCTCCAGAGCTGGCGCCTCCAATGCGGAAGCGGTGTCACGTTACATGCCACCACAGCCACATTCAATGCGCCACCCCTCTGCCGCCTCTTAGTGCCCTTCTGCTGGCCCCCTTGGGACATTAAGAGGTGGCAGGGGGACGGTGCATTGAACGCTGCCGTGGCAGCACATAACGTGCCACCACTTCCACATTGGAGGCACTGGCTCCAAAGCGGTGCTACAGTCAATGGGTGAACCTGCAGGACCAGTGCCTCGAATGCCCCGAACTAAATCCATTGGTATTGCAAATCCAAAACCAAGTGCTATGTTAAAGTGGACTGACCAATGTCAAACAGCATTTGATAACCTAAAAAATCTTTTTGCAAAAGAGCCAGTGTTGAAACACCCAGATACAACTCTACCATTTATCATTCAAGCATATGCCAGTGATGTAGTGGTAGGAGCTGTTTAATTGCAAAGAAATAAAGAAGGTAATTTACAACCATGTGCATATACATCTAGGAAATTTAGTCCAGCTGATCGAAATTGGGCAATTTGGCAGAAGGAAGCCTTTGCAGTTCACTGGTCATTACTGAACTGGAGACATTTACTAGAAGGAAATTCACAACCATTTGACGTGTAGACCGATCATAAAAATTTAGAAGCACTCCAAAATCCACGAAGGTTGTTGCCAAAGCAAGTTCGCTGGGCAATCTTTTTTTAAAGGTTTAATTTCACGCTAAAATACGTCCCATCAGGGAAAAACTTTATGGCGGATGCTTTGTCAAGGCTTCTCAGTATAATAGTGTACGAGAAAATATAATCTAACCATTGATACCAACTACTAATAGAATAGAATCTTTACAATCCACAATACTTACAACCGACTTACCTACAAGATGAAACCCTGGCAAGATATTGGAGTGGACTTTATAGTTGATCTACCAGATAGCCATGGCTACACAGTGATATGGACGGTTATTGATCTGTTCTCCAAACAAGCACATTTTGTCCCATGTAAAGGAATACCATCCGCTAAAAAGTTAGCCAAATTATTTTTAAACATATATATCACTTACATGGGGTACTTCGAAAAATAATCTCCAATAGGGGAGTACAGTTCACCTCAAAATTCTGGTGGGGGTTTATACATTTGATTGGTTCAACACAAGGACTAAATACAACATATCACCCAGCTACCAATGGAGCGGCTGAAAGAGAAAATGTCACCATCGAACAATATCTTCGTCGTTATGTTAACTATCAACGAAGTAATTGGGCAGATCTGATACCATATGCTGAAATAGCGTATAACAATACGGTACATAGCAGTACTGGTCATTCCCCTTTCCAAATAGTAAGCGGTATGGAATTTGTACCCATACCCAAATGGCCCTGTAATGAACAAGAACTCAATATAGAGACTACAAATACATGGGCAGATAAAATACGTAAGCAATGGAACTCAATTCATCCCGCTTTGAAAAAAGTGCAGGAAACGTATAAAGTCCAAGCAGATAAAAAAAGATCAGCACAAACAAAATATAATATTGGAGATTGGGTATATCTATCAACTAAATATCTACACCTCGGTTTAACTAGCGAAAAACTAGGTCCAAAATATATTGGACCATTTCAAGTTATATGAGTAATCAATCCTATGACAGTAGGTCTTTGACTTCCCTCCCGGTTCAAAAGATTTCACCCCATATTTCATATCAGTGGGTTGAAACCTGCAAATATGA